AAAAAAAAAAAAAAGGAGAAACAGAAGGAGAAGAAGAAGCAGAAGAAGAAGTAGAAGAAGAAGAAGGGAAGAAGAAGAAGAAGAAGCTGCTGTCTGCCGGTACAATATGGGCAGGGAAAAAAAAGTGAGCCGGAGATAGCGCCCAGTACGCTATGGCGGGCAGTACAATATGACTGGCAGATATGCGAGATGGTGGGCGGTAAGATATGGAGGAGGACGAGGGCAGAAAAAGACGACGAGGAGGAGGAGGAAGACAAAGAGGAGGGAAGGAGGAGGAGAGGAGACTTGAAAAACGAAACAGACGAAAGGAGGAGGAGGAGGAGGGAAGAACAAGGAGGAGGAGGAGGAGGAGGAGGAGGAGGAGGGAAGAACAAGAAGGAGGAGGAGGAGGAGGAGGAGGAGGAGGAGGAGGAAGAAGAAGAGATAACAGGAGGAAGAGGAGGTGACGAAGAAGAAGAGAGGAGGGGGGGGGAGAGGGCAGGAAGGAGGAGAGGAAGGAGGAGGAAGATAGAGACTTGAAAAGCGAACAGACGAAAGGAGGAGAAGACGAAAGGAGGAGGAGGAGGAGGAGGAGAGAAGAACAAGACAAAAGGAGGCGGCGGCGGAGGAGAAGCAGGAGGTGGAGGAGGACCTACTGGTAGTGTATGTGGATGATAGAAGAAAAAAAAAGACAACGATGAAGGAGGTCGAGGAGGAGGAGAGAAGGAGAAAAATAAGTAGGTGGAGGAGGAGGAGTAGAGAAGAAGAAGAAGACAAGAGGAGGAGGAGGAGGCGGAGGAGGAGGGGGGGGGGGAAGGACAAGACGAAAGGAGGAGGACGAGGAGGAGAGCAGAAGAAGAAGACAGGAGGAGTAGGAGTAGGAGGAGCAGGAAGAGGACGAGGACCTGTCGGTAGTATATGTGCATGACGGAAAAAGAAAAAAAAAAGACGATGAAGGAGGTCGAGGAGGAGGAGGAGAGAAGGAGAGAAGGAGAGAAGGAGAAGAATAAGTAGGTGGATGAGGAGGAGGAGAGAAGAAGAAGAAGAGAGGACGAGGAGGAGGAGAGAAGGACAAGAAAGGAGGAGGAGGAGGAGGAGGAAGAGGACCTGCCTGTTTTGTATGGCGATGACGGAAAAAAAGAATAGACGACGAGGGAGGAAGAGAGAGAGAGAGA